TGTGAAGATGCAGATGTAGCTCATGGTCTGTTTTCTCCTGCACATGTGATATGCTGTGAAGATGCAGATGTAGCTCATGGTCTGTTTGCACGCTGTAAACACACACACAGATAAATCCGGCCCCTCTCGTGATGAGTACCAGACCGGTCTCTATGGTAACCGCTCTCCTACGGCGGCTCGGCTGCAGTGAGGGGAGCGACGCCCACTCTCGCAGACCGGAGGGCGGAGTTTTACAGCTCGAGTGATTCATCTTGAGAAACGGAGACGATCTGTGCGCACGGCGCCGTGTTTACAGCGGACCCGGGCAGACTGCAGACTGTGCGTGTACCTGTGCATTCATCCAGCGACGCGACCCGTTCACGCTGCGTGTGCATCCACGGAGAGGCATAATATCAGAGGAGCTGAGCGACCCCGGAGCAACAAGGTCAAATCCTCCGGTTGTTCCCCCCCCCCTCGTTGTCGCGAAGGTGCATTACAGCCACCACAACAACGCGGTGCGTGTGAGCATGATGAGCGGCTGAGGAGGAGGAGGCTGCTGCGGTCTGAAACCAGATTTGATCCTGGATATTTCGACACAGACGTCGTGCCGTTCGCTTACACGGGCTGTGTTTGTGTTTGATATGATATCGTGTGCTCCTCGCCGCCTCTTCCCATCCCGTTCTTGAAGGGGGGGGTGGTGTCTCACCCGTTCTCTGCCTCCCGAGGATCCTCCGGCAGCGGGACGTTGAGCGTTTTTTCTTCCAGCTATGGAGCGTGAAGATGCGGATTACAGAGGAATCCCCGCCGCTGCTGTAGCCGCATTGTACACACATTCGACACGGCGCAGTTTTCGGCAGGAACAAGCAGAACTATGAATACGCATTTTCAGCCTAGAGGAATAAATCGGTGATTATTTTCTGGAGCACGGTTGGACTCCTCATTAGGAAGCGTGAGAGAGAGAGAGAGAGCTATCCCTGCTAGCCTGTGTGTAGTAACGTTAGCTTTTAGCTCCTTTAGCCGGCTAACTGCTAAAAGGTGCTGGCTGGGGGATTGAAAAGCGATTTAATAATTCCGGCCAGGCTTTGCCGAGCCTTTCCCCCCCTCAACATATTTATTTACAGGGTCTGGGGGGATTCACTTATTCCAGGAATGAGGTCTCGAACAGAAAGGAACCGCTTGACCTTGTTTTGGGGTCTGATGCTGGGTCTGTCGTCCTGCCTCCGGCCCGCCACCGCAGAGAGTAAGTAACGCCGCTCCACACGACCAGACACTGGGTGATTCAGCCTTTAGGCTTTCACGCTGCTCACACATGTGCAATAAAGTCACATTTCGTTACAGTGAACGCACTTTATTCTAGGCTGTATATTGTTTATAAAGTCTTGCACTGTAAATAGAGCAAACGATGTTTTTCTTGGCAATTTAGATATATCAATTTGTAGCCAAATATCAGTAATATTAGTTATTTTTTAATAGAGAGCAATCAATATGGTTTATCACAGTGTAATTATGTGGTTATAGGATAATTTAATTATATGTAACTAATATTACACAGGAAATGTGTGCATGTTGGAAATTACATTTCATCATGAATGGGAAAAAAGTTAAATATGTTATGTTATTGTTTTAATGTGCAAATATGTGTGGTTGATTTCATTTTTGTTAAATGCTGTGTGTCTTTAAATGGTCACCTTGCAAAGCTGTAACTTAGTTTTAAAACAGACCGCAAAGACAAATCCGTTTTAAGTGTGTTGATAAGTACATGATACCAGGACTCAGTCAAAGCCAGCCAAGCTTTATTTACGCCACATTGTCAACTCTGAGTCATGGTGTGAGGAGGAAGATTCAACAAAAGCAAGGAAAAATACAGACAGAAATCTGAACTGAGAAATAAAAGAAACTTTGTGATTAGGTTTAGTTGTTCTCCCGTTCTTGTTGGTCGAACAAGAATGGGATTTATTATTTTCACACTGAAAACCTTCATTAAAATGTTGGCAAACATAAGACTGTTGTTGCTGGATCTGTTTGAAGCACTAAACTTCAGCTCTTTTATACACAAAATTAGATAAACATCTACAAGGCATACAAAGTTTGCATGCATAGTCAGACTTACTACATACATGTTTTCATTGTTGTGAGGTATAACTTGTTAGAGAAGGATGGGGAATCCTGGTCTTAATGTTTTCATGGTTTTAAGATTTTGAGGGGCAGCTGTAAGAAGTTAGTGGTTTAGATTAATTTGGCCTTTTCATTTAACTTTAATTTTTTTTAAAAAGTTTTTGATGAGACAACCTTGGTGGAATGACACAACATTGCCTGTCAGTTCTATGCATTCTTTAGTATGTACGTTTTCTTTACCTAAGGCTGCCATGTCAATATCACTCCCTCAAGATTTAGAAGAAGCCAATGCACAATATCTGTCCAATGGCATCATTGTGCGTCTTCCTGGTAGTGAACCCCTCCATTATCCTCCTTTGCTAAACAAACCTGGGAACGCATTGACCTTGGAAAAAAAATGTCATGAATACCAGACTGCTGCAGTTCCATTGATCAGACACAGGAACATCCTCCCATCAGGCAAAAGATCGGAACTCTTGACAGAACTTTGTGACTGACTATTGCAGCATATCGTGACTCACAGCATCTGTCAGCATGCAAACCTCCAGATTTAACAAATTTAAAGCTTCCATAGCTTTGTGTTACCGTCTGAAATGTTTCCATGTTTCCAGCTATACTGTAAACTAAAACTAGGCTTCCTGATTCATCCCATTCACCGTGACATGTTGGGGAGGGGTGGGTCAGGGGGTTGAACCAGGGTCTGGGTTTTAAAATAGTACAAGCCAAAGTACATTCACAAGCAAAACAGACTAAGTTCTGTTGATTGGAAAGAGTGAGGAGCTTGTGAACTGTGTCTTATGGGGTTTACTGTTAGCCCCAGTGGTCACAGGACAAACCTGGGAAAAGCAGAGGTGCTCCCATCAAAATCCTACATTTATTCTCAATGCGATGTGGAGCTGTCTAAAGGTCCCTTGTGTGGCTAAACTCTGAGCATTCCTGCTGGTTAACTGTATCAGTTGGGACTAAAGAGCCTCTGGCAGGATTGGGTTAACCAGGTTCAGCTTTGCTGCTGCACACACAACTTTACAGATGTACCAAACAAGTTTGATCTGTCAGGAAGGATCTTTTTTGCATGCTTCCCTGTGCATTTCTTCTCACCTTGCCTCTCATGTGGAAAAGTATTTATGAATATGTTCCCCCTCGGGCAGTCTGTCTCTAAGAGGATGGAAATGAGGAGCAAACAGACTCGCTGCAGTCTAGTGGCAGTGAATGAAGCACCGGCTTAGAGGGCGTATTGCTTCCTATTTCTTGTCATATTGGGCTTCTAGTGGATTTCCTATGATTGTCTGCGGACAGTCTGGGTTCCGCAGTTAGCTGGGGAAAGGTTATCAAAAGTAAATATGGTGTCTAGAGGCTCATCAAAGCGGCAGAGATAAGCTTGTTTACTCAGCTGTTTTAAAATGTGTCGTTGTGATGGTGGTGCTACACCTGCTATCGATATTTTCATGTAGCCGGTGCACAAGATGAATTTTTTATCAGAAGCCTTTGTTTGGGATTTTCACAAGCGTGGTCAGGAGCAGTTCCCATGAAAGATGGCCATGCTGGAGTTGCAGTGAGGCCACAGAGGGTGAAGCGCCGAGGCTGCGGTGATGTAACATCACTAGGCACTGTGTCTTTTTACAGGCCTGGGTGTTGGGATTGTATTAACAGGTATGCAGCTCACTCAGGGCTGCTGACGGTGTGCACTGACAAGTAGATTACAGAGAAGGACATGACCGCCATACCAGCACACTGCCTGCTTTAAATCACACCAAAGGAATTTTATAATGGCACACACCAAAGGCTCTCACATCCTGTCTAGAGACGATTTAAACACCTAAAGCCAATTAAAATGGCAAATAAAAATAAAGGCCATACAACTTCAACGCATTTTTAGCAGTGCACTGGTACACTATAAGAAAGAAGCCACAGCTCTAGTGTGCTTTGAAACTTATGCCACAAGCAGGGTTGAAGGAGGCCAACTCTGGGAAAGTTTATATACTGGTTGTATGTGGAGTTTACGGGGGTAAAACATGCCCAAATTACAGAACACTTTTAACTTGTTGTAGCCACTACTAACTTGATTTTCACAAACGTGTCTAGCTTTCATTTGAACGATTTATCTCCATTTGCCCTATTTCAGTGTTGCTACTTTGGTAGTTTTTTCTTCATGTATAGCTGGACCAAAGATACGTATTATGATTTGCAGTGGCATTGAACTGGATAATATGTATAATATATGGATGGGAATAAGGAATGTCAAATTTTCTCTCCTTGTTATCGAATGTGATATAACTGCTAGTTTTTATTTTCCAAAACACATTCAGTGTGTAGAATTTTGTGATATTTAGTGTTGAAATTGCATGTTGCAGCTGAACACCCCTCACCTCACCCTCCTCTTCTAAACATGAAAAAGAAACTGTGGTAGCTTAAGTTGTCATAAAAACTCAAAAGGTGTTTAGTTTGTCCAGTCTGGACAATTGTGAAAAACATGGTGGATTCTGTAGAGAGGACCCCCTCAATGTAAATATAAAGAGATTGTCGATGTGTGACCTGTATCCAGAGTCCCCCCCCCCAATTGTAGTAAACATGAATTTAACTTAAAAACAGCTTGTTTGATATTTTGTCACATGTCATGTCATGTCGACACTAGGTGTCTACGCTGGTGAGGACTGTGCGGCCCGCGCTGCAGACGCCCGAACTTGTCGCTTCATGCTTTATGTGTAATTTTTATAACTTTATTCAAAAAGTCATGATAACAATCTTAAAGTTCAACTTCCCTTTCTCTAAGCTGCATTCAGATCTGCCGTGATGTCAGGAATATTTCATATCCATTTCCTGCAAGGAATGCTGGTTTGACTTGACTGTGTTGGAGTGAACTTTGCCACAGCTGAGCTTGGTTGTAATACATCGTCCCTAGTGTCGTGTTTGAGAGTTGCTCCCTTGTACATAAAAACATAACTTGTAAAATGACATGTTTCTTAAAGAAAAAAAACATCTGAACCTTTCATTTCATTGCCCAAATTTTATCATAGAAACAAAGTTTGTGAAAGTAGGAATATATATTTAATTTTTAACCTTCATGAATCACGATCCAGCAGTAAGACAAAATGGTAAAATCAGAATTCTGTTTATTGAAAATTTAGAATAGTGATACTGGTGTGTAGCTGATAAGTCATAGACCTGTGTTGTGTTAAACTACACCGCCAAAAACGCGCTGGGAAAAACTTCATTGCCAGCAGAAAGGTTCAGCGTGTTCTTTTGGAAATTAAATTAAACTGTTCCAACTCTGTGGTTTCTGAGAAAACACCACCAACATGTTTTGGTGGACTACAGATATTCATATTAGCAGTACTGTCTGTAACTGATTTCATAATATTCAGGCCTCCTGAGACATTTTACAGATTTTTTTCAATATTCACATTCAACATGAGTTTGTAGAGCAGTCTTTCCTTCACGTCATCCCACGACTTAAACTTTGGTATGGTAAATATTACACTATCACTTTTAGTATCATAAAGTTATGTGCACATCGCAGGGACATGGCAGCTAGTGTAGGACTAGTATTGCCAGAAGCACATGGCTCTAGATCCAGGTTATACTAAAAAAACTTCAACCTGCAACAGCAGTCCTAATGTTTAATTATGAAAACTAAAAATTTGTTTGCTGAGAATGAATCATCTTGTGTAAACCATTCAGGGTCACATTTGTATAGTAAAACCTTAGACCAGCATTAAAGTGGTAGTGTGAAAACCTGTTAGCTGATTCGTATGAGTTTTCCATGACTCAATGCCCTGCAGCTTTTGAAGTGTAAATCCTCCTCACTGTGATGTGCGATAATGGCCTCCATATTTCTGTGGGTGCTGCTGGGGCTTCAGGCTAAGTATTGTTTAGAGTACACCACAAAAGTGGGAGCAAAAGCTGAAGAGGCAAACACTCCACCTATCAACACCGATCGTCACCATAATGCCGCACCAGACTTTTTCTTATGAGGGCTAGGATTATTTAAAGGCAAAAGAAAAGCAAACTAGAAAAGTTCAAGAAGTTCAAAACTAATTTCAGGGGAGGCTCAATGAATAGAGGTGGAAAAAAACACATAAATGTGTGTTATTTAGATGAACAGAGATACAGTGGTTTTGGGGTACATTTTGTGTTTTTCTCACTTTTCCAGAGTCAGACACTAATGAATGCCTCAGGAACAGACCTATTATGTATTTAGTGTAGTCTGACATTATCTCAAACAACAATTATCACATAACCAGGATTGTGTAAGCATCCACAAGTTGAGCAAAACTAGATAAAGAAACCGAGGTGGGATGAGGAGGTGCCCTTTTTCATCCATGGTCTGGTTGGACACAATTTACGACTGTACATTGGAAGGATTATATTAATGGTTCCCTACAAACCTGTGTTACTTTTGTTTAGTGCAACCAACAGATTATAGTTTTCACTTGAGTTGTAAAATATATCCACATCTACTTGATATGTGACCCTTTGTGACCCAAAATTTGGTTTTGCCGTTCATGTTCCCTAGGTGCTATATTCTATTGAGTCAAATCATCATCTGAGTTTCCCTCGAGCTACACCATTAAGTTTATATATGTGGTGTTGAAACAACTTTTAGATGGGTTTTAAATTCAGCGTTTCATGTATAATTGTTATACCTGGTGATCTTTGGTTTGCATGAATAAAAACATTTCCCAAAGCCCTACCTGGAGTTTGGCTTTAGTGCTAAATAACACACAAAAGGTTAAATTTTAATTATAAACATAAACACTGTAGTCGTGAGTCGCAGAGCTCCTACCGTGGCAGCACTTGACACGATTCTTTCTGCTCTTGGTTTTACAAGTTTGATCACATATTGTGTATTTAGTCAACTGACAGGGTGTACATATTTTATGGATGAGGTCTTTTATAATAGAATTGTATTATGAAAGCTTTATAAAAGCAGTCAATAAAACTAAAAGGTAGGTCAGGTTGAAGACACAAAAGCAACAATAGCCTGAAAGCAGAGCAAACAACCTTTATTGCACTATTATTAAAGTAAATTGAAATAGAACACAACTCAAGTATTGGTTCACAGGGAAATATGCTCTGTCAACAATAGCTGGGCTGTCAATATTTAAGAAAGTTATTGTAAAAAAAACTTCTTTGTAAATATCAAAATTTCTGAAATGGAGAATGTTTTGTTGTATATTGTTACATTTAGCAGTTATTTATTGCTCTGTTTAAAGAGTGGGTCCGTACATTTTGAAAGTACATCTGTGAGAAGGTGTTCTCATGCATCGCTTAAAAGGAAAAGGTAGGGCAGTTTGGTTTAGTTAAGACGACATATCGTGACGAGGAGACTGTTTCCCGTGGAAAGAAAAGATATATTAAAGAAACAAATATAGATAAAGGAAATGGGTGGTTGGACTTCAATGTTACTGTTATGTCATCTTAACCTCTCCTTTGTTTCCCCCTGCAGTCTGTGGTCCCAGCATCGACATTGGCAATGATATCAGGGAATTCAGTCGTTTAGAGAACTGCACAGTGGTGGAGGGCTACTTGCAGATCCTCCTCATCGGGGACAAAAACAACAATAATATCAACCTGGAAGACTTCCGCTCCCTCAGCTTCCCCAAGTTGACCATGATCACTGACTACCTGCTGCTATTCCGGGTGTCTGGCCTGGACAGTCTGAGTGCGCTCTTTCCCAACCTTGCAGTCATCCGAGGACGTAACCTGTTCTACAACTACGCCCTCGTAATATTTGAGATGACCAGCCTGAAGGACATCGGCCTGTACAACCTGCGTAACATCACCCGTGGTGCCATCCGCATTGAGAAGAACCCTGAGCTGTGCTACCTAGACTCTATAGACTGGTCGCTCATCATGGACGCAGAGTTCAACAATTACATTGCCGGGAACAAGCAATCCAAAGAGTGCAGCGATGTTTGTCCAGGCATCATGGAGAACAGCCCGCAGTGCAAAAAGACCATGTTCAACAACAACTACAACTACCGCTGCTGGAATTCCAATCACTGCCAGAAAGGTAAGCAGGCTGTCACACATGCTCATCAGCTCATCAATTTGAATTGCAAATAGATTGTGGAGACAGTCTTACCTTTGGCCTGTTTTTGTAACTTTGGGATTGTAATGAACAACCTAGTGCCTATAGCGCTGGCCTGCCACCTGCCACTTCTGCAGTTGTGTTTGGGCTGCAAGGAAGGAAGAGAGCCGAGGAATGTTGTTCTGCATGATTGACTCATCTGCAGATCTTAGTGGTTATATATCTCAGGTGTTTAAATCCAAGTTGAAGACATGAAGAAAGAGCTAATCAAAAATATCAGTGCCGACAATAGTTTTGCCTCTGCCAACGTTCTTTAGGGTTTTCTGAGCATGAGCAATGACACTGTCGAATGTCAGCATCTGTTTACTCAAATACAAAATGACGTATATTTTAGGTTGGTTTCCTGTGGGAACACAATGTACTACAATTCTCTCAAAAGAGGCAGTATAGATCAGGTGTATAGTAACAGTTATTTTAAGCTATTTGGTTTAATTCAAACGTTCTCTCCTGCATTCCCTAAACAAACCAATTTAAAGGAGCAAGTGGATTGGTTTATAATTAAACTACTCAAAGCATCGTGAGGGTGAAGTATCCCTTTAATTCGGTGTTTACGACTGCAGTGTTTTGGATGACTTGTTTTGCTGGTGCTTTTCAGACGATGTGTTTTGGCTGACTTAGTGTGTGTGTATGTGTGTATGTGTCTGGCTGAATTGTTTCCCTGGTGACTGGCGCCTCACTGCAGACTCAGCATGATGATGTTTTCAGTCTTGTGACATGAAACTGCCGCAGGACTGGCCTCGATCACATGCATGTACACACACATGCACGCACGCACAGTCTTCATCATTTAAACGCAGTTGAAGCACAGACAAAGATGCAGGCAGGCACATGTGAACATGCAAATTACGGAGATGCAAATATCGGACGCACACACATACACCTGGCCTGCTTTGTGCATTGTTATGGTGGCAGTGTGAGCATGCTGGGAAAGAAATCCAGGGGTGGAATATGGATGAAGAAGACATGTTAGATAGATGGAGATGTTGGAGGATGGAGGATGATCCAGGGAGTGTAAAGTGGAGGAGAAAAAGTTGGTACTTTTTATCATTTCACCTGTCAACAGGAAAAAACTGATACATCTCCTCTTTTCCTTTGTTTGTGGAACCATAAATGCATCTCACTTAGAAACATGTTTAGGTCTGTATGTAATGCAAATTCCAGATTGTTATGTTGGGTCACTGCAGTATTGGGTGTAGGTAATTAATGGGAAGCAGTGGACACAGTACGAATCCAGATCATGTAACTAATCATCATATGGATGGTGACCTAGCGTGTCCACTATAAGTCCCGTCGACATTTGTCTTCACAGCTGCCTGATTATGTATGTATTACTTTCAGCAACAATCAAATGAGCTTGAATTCCTATATCATCATTACAAGTGGAGTGAAAGTATGTGGAGTGAAGTTTGTCAAATATAATATTCGTATTGTGTGACTCTAGGCAATTTTTGGGATTTTAAGACATTTTGTCTCGGATCTTGGTTTTACAATCGGTTAGGAGCTCAAGTGTAACAGTGTGGTGCAGTTTTGCCTGGTTGAAGGTCATTTTTCTGTCTCCACTCTGTTGAGACTAGACTAAAACATAATGTTTTTCAGAGGGCCGGGGTTGTGAAGGATAGGAAATAGATTTCAATATTATTTTTAAATAGCCAACTACATATACTGAATACCTTGCGTGGAAGAACTTCTATTACCAGTGCTACTGCAACAGCTGCTGCTACTACTGTTTCCATTACCACTGCCTTAACTACTAAGCCATCTGCCCAATTGCGACAACTAATTATATTACTACTACTCTCACTTAGACTCCTAACAGTTACTTCTACAACTTGGTGCCACTAAAACCACTTTTGACACACTGGGCATGAATGCTGGGGCCGCTGCTCTTGTTGACAGTGGTGTGATGTCCAACAGACATTGCTACACTCAGGCTTCATCTACACTACTAAGATTCAGTTTTAAATTGTATCATTGCTGTTACGGGTACACCTGCAGTTCAGACTACTCCAGAGTTTTTGAGTGCCTAAAACTAAGAAATTTGGAAATGCTGTTGGGCGCATTTTATTCTGAAAATGACAGGGCTTCTTTGTATTCTGCACGGGCAAAAACGGAGACATTTAGAAACGATAATGCAGTCACCAGCATCGCTTCCTGATTGGTTCTTATCAATCACTGCTCGATTACCAGCGGTGAATGCAAGACATCGTAAACAGTTGTAAACTTATTGTCAGTAACTGGTCCATATCATCGTCAGCTGACGAAAGAAATCCCTTCTCTTAAGTGTCATTGGCACACACATGCCAAGTGGATGGTCACTGTTTCAAAATGAAAACATTGTAGTATGGACGTAGACCTCTGTTCCACTCTTGACTAACTGCTGCCAGCACAGTTAAAGTGTTGCCTCGTAATTTCAGAAATGTATTCTTAGTTTAGAACAACAAAAACTCAGTTGAGTGTTAAGGAAGCCTCACCCACTTTCCTGAGATATAGGGGTCCAGATAAATTCATCACTCAGACTCATGGTAGCAGTTTGTGTCATATCTCAGAACCTGACTAACTGGATGGGATAGTGTCAGCCGTGGCTAATGTGTTTGTGTTCAGTTGGCATCCTCTTATCCGTGAGGTTGACATGTCTTGTTAAGTCAGTTTAAATGGACTAAATATAGAAGAAGTAGAGAATGACCCCGTGAAGATGCATAAGCAGTCTACCACGCTCCAGCGGGAGTGTGTCAGCCAGGGCAAATGGGCCATCAGTTGCCACTGCTGCCGCCTTAAAACAGAATTGATCTCAGACAACATGAGCTCCACTGCTGTCTGCACTGCAGAGACTGCATTGTTGGGCTATTTATTAGGCACTTTATTGGAGAGGTCTGGTGGTAGTAAAGCCAGGCTTCATTAAAGCAGAGTTGTTGTGAGGGCTGACCACACAGTGCTGATTTCCTCAAGTTGTCGTCCGGCAGCTCCAGCCCATGCGGATCAGAATTTGCCTACACTTATATACTGTAAAATCCTGTGTTAGCAGCACTAAGCTATAAAACAAGTAAAGCCTGGTGCTGCTGTGCTTTGAATTATGACTGGTTATCTAATTCAGTAGTCCTATTTGGGATCTGTTGATTAAATGTGTGCCATGCTGACATGAGAGTCAACTCAGAAACATTTTATTTTCAGGCCCGGTCATTTGTCAGATCAATAAATGACAGAAGGGAAAAGTGCGAGGCCTGTTTTTGTAGAGTTGATACAAAGGACATGCTTTCAGCCTGAGCACATTCATAAAACTGTTACAGGCAAAAGAGGGTTCAAGGCCTGTTTCCTTCTCCGGGAAAGTGGTGTGTTTTTTAGTCATAGTGGTGGGGGCTGCATTCTCCAGTGTTTACTTCCCTCATTTGTTGTTTGGAGTCTGGTTTGGGTGTTTTGTCTCGTTCATAACTCATAGGCTTCTCCCAAAGAAGAGCCATGTCTGTGCATGCTGGGACACAAACACACTGTCTCTTCACACACTCGCTCACGCTCTCTCTCAGACACACACACATGCTCGCACATTGAACAGCATGGGGGATGTTTTTCCGGTGCTTTGTATGGTCTGAGGAGATGAAAGCACATCATTAAAGTACAAAGTAGGTCTTCTGGGATTTACTGGAAGGAATTTTTGTCTTTTGTTAACCCCTGACAGAAGGGATTACACATTAAACTGGAAGGATTGTCTTCAGGGTTGTTGTTTAGCCTGCCACTATATTAATTGGCCATACTTGACATGTCAGTGTTTGCTCATTTATATTTGGACTCATTTAGCCGACGTGTCTTCCTGGTGAGACAGTGGACCTCCTGCATTAATATTCTGAGTACAAAAGAGAACATGCATGTGTTCTTCATGTACTCCTTCGTAAACTTCATGTTTGAATGATCTATTTTTATCTCCTTGTTTGAAGTAATTTTTAGTTATTGCAACTTGAGAAAAAAATGATGTAAGTAAATCTGTTATTAAGCTTAATGCCTTTAGTTTATCGGGATTTAATGTTTCTTGGTGACTTACAGTGGTAGAATCAAAAAAGACAGACAGAAGCATACACTACCACCTCACCCCCACCACCCTACCAACTATTTTTCTGCCCTAAAATATCACTTTAGCCCATATCCCATTAGTCCAAAAACCCTCTAACACCCATCAACATCTGACTTTTGTCTATAATGGGAATTGATACAATTTGCTTTCACTCCCATGTCAAATGACTGTACAGTAGACACAGGTTTTAATCAGCTCCAACTCTGATCAGCAGTGATTAAAACAAGTGAGTTAATTCACTAATTTCTTCTTCTAACTTGAAGTTCTGGGCGTTGACTTGTAAGTAGCCAATCTTGAGAACAACATGCAACAGCGATTTGATTTTCACTTTTTATTGTGCAGATTTTGGTGTAATATAGGTGATATAAGACTTGGACCCTCAGATCAAATGATCACATGCTAAGAATCAGTATACTTCTAAAAGTTACTTTAATTCTGCCACGCAATTTAAGTAGCGAAATAATCAATGGCCTGTGTACACACACCCAATGTTTTTACAGTAGAAACTCCTTCTGTGATTTTAAGAATGTATGTGAAAGAGAGTCCGTCAGATAGTCAGAGTTGTGGACAGCTTCCATACTCCTGTGTATCGATTGGTTTTGGATGTGGTACGTTCACTGTTTATTTACCTAGTGTTGAGTTTTCAATAGTGAACCATCTCTGCTATGTGTTAAGTATGAAGTTATTTCAAGTTATTGAAACCCACTTGCTTCATTGATGCTTCTTTAAGCTACACTTTACTCATGCACTTTATACAACCAAAAGTCTGCACTGGGAATGTGCTATATATTTTCACTCATTATTTTTCACTTTCTTCTATGAGAGAGATTCAGTTGTAGTAGGGATTGGATATAGCCATAAA